CTCAAAGGAGTCAGGCATCTTCAGAATCGAATGAGATCATAATGCTTCTGGCTTATTCCCAAAGCTAAGACATCTCTGTGTGTACAGCTGGAGAGAAAGGGTTAGTGGAGTGGTTTTATAAATAAGATTAATTATTAGAGATACAGCTGAAGTCTCCAGGCAGGAGGCTCTGCAATTCAGTCAGGGCTCCGCTGCCTCCTCCCACTTTCAGCACCTGACCAGCGTCCTGTTCTTGATGCTTTCTAACAAATATAAACTGTTTTGCAACCGTTTATAGATACAACTGGAGGGGGGGGAAAAAAAAAAGCAAAAGCTGACGTTAAAAAAAAAGGAGAGTTGGAGTGGAGGGAGAAAAAAGGACAAGTATACAGTTCAGGGACGTCCAGAATTAGCGCAGAAATTAAAATGACCGGGAGAGGGGCAGGCACCAAGAACAGCACCTAAAGCTAACAAATGCCTAAATTGGTTTATTTATATTCCCTCCCCATAATGTTCATAGGGGAGGAAAAAAAATGTAATTTCAAAAGCATCAAAACTAAAACAAATGCACACGGACCTTAGAAAATAAGATTTTGAATTCATCATGATACCCTTTTTCCTATAAAATTTACTTTTTTGCTTTGAAAGATTTCTTCATGGTGGATTTGCCCTTGCCAGGCAACTTCACTTCCTTTCTCACACTGGCCGCAGGCTTCTTTGAAGAGCTACCACTAGGTTTCTTGATGACTGAGGGGGAGGGTCTGGCTTTCTTGGCAGGAGTTTTGGCCTTAGGAGGGGCTTTCTTGGGCAGGGGCCGAGCCTTCCCTCGCTGGGCAGCTGGGACTCTAGGCGCAGGCTTGGACCCTCTCTGCTTCACGGGTGCAGCCTTCCCTGACAACTTGGCTGGGGTTTTCTTCTGCAACCTGTGAGAACCAAAGAGCAAAGGCGATCACTTAGTACTTGAGAGATTCACTTTACCAGGATGACCAGATACTCTGTCAAAAAAAAAGTAACACAGGTAGACGTCACCTATGTTACGAAGGGGAATGTGGGTGATTATTTACCCTGAGGCTTTACTAAAATTGTATACATGTAATTCCATCATGTTTTTCCTAGAAAAATATGGACTTATTTTTCTTCAAATAACTTAACTATGGATATATAAATATACAGGTTTGACCAAAGAATAATTACATATTCAGTGTATCATAAGTTCAGAGTCTCTAAACTCTTGAGACGATAAGTTCAAATGTTACACAAAGGGCTTGAGAAGTATCCTGACTTGTTCACTTTTCACAGCCTCTCCTACTACTGCCATTTTCAGCTCTAAAAAGGGTTTTCCACACAGCCCTACCTTCTCTTAGGTGGTGGCTCTTCATCTTCAGAGTCTTCCTCTGATGATTCATCTTCATCTTCATCCTCATCTTTAGAATCATCTGGCTCTTTCTTTGGAAACAGAACTCCTGGACTATTAAGGAGAAAAAAATTTGGTAAAAGAGAAGTCCAGGAGAGGACAAGGAAAAGAATGTGAACCCAGATATGCTCTTCCCTGGACATTATCCACTCCCCTCCGCCCCTACCCCCCAGTTATGTCAGGTTAGGTGCAAATATCAGGTTACAATTTAATCTATGTCGAACACACATATGAAGTTACAACAAATCTATAAATGCCCCAGACCATTCCTCATTCCCTTCCCCTTCCATTTAATAAAATTAATACTTGATCATTTATTTAGCTTTGGGGTTTTTTCTTTTTTTTAATTTTCTTTTTTGGGAGGAGGTAATTAGGTTATTTCTTTAAACACAGGTACTGGGATTGAACCCAGGACCTTGTGCATGCTAAGCATGTGCTCTATCCTCATTCTCTTAATCATTTATTTACTAAACAATTATTTACGCACCTGATATGTGTTCAGCACTGTAACAGCCACTGAATATATAGTAGTGAATGGTCTATACGGTGGTGAACACTCTGCACAGCAGTATGTATTTTTTGTTCTTATGATACTGGCAAAAGGCTTCAAAGTATCATAAAGACTGAATCTCTTCAAAGTTTTAGAGAAATTCAGCAAGGATCTTCCAACTTTTCCTTGTTTACCTTACAAAGAAAACTTGATCTCACTGATCAATAGGTCCTTAAATTATCACAGTGTATATGCAGTGCATAACTTTAAGAATTAAATTTAAAGTTTATTGTTTGACAAATTCAAATAACATACATTCAACCAAGTAACACTTACTTATATTTATGTACAAAGAACAATATAAGAAAGCTACACTATGCTTCTGCTAAAATAGGTTTTAGTGGTACATGTCATTGCACTTTATTAGAAATGAAAGTATAAGAAGGCATAGCACAGGTACATAGAAAAATGCTTAGTTCACAGGAGATGCTATATACTTTTCTTGGTTCAATGAATAAAAAAATAAGGCATGTATTAGCGACAAGTTTTTAAATTAATGTCCTTGTCTCTACAGTATGAAGAAGGCAGATTAGGATTCTTGGAAGTAGTCAATGCTCTCCCTACTTGGTGCTGGACAATTGAAAAATAATCAGTGCTTAATTTCAGGAACACCTGTCTAACAACAAGCTCCAGCAGGATAGCCCAAATCTCCCTATTCTTATATGAAAACCTTCTGCTCTAAAAAATACTATCTTAAGTAGTCTTTATTTTCAAGTATACCCAGTTCAGTGTAATAGCTGTAAAGTAAGGTAAGCCAAGCCTGCAACCTAGAGTCAGATTTTAAATTTGCAATGACCAGTACTTCACATTATGGGCAAGGTGCTTACCTGGGGTAATAGGGAAAGCAGAGCTGGAAGGTGCCACTGAATCCTTTACCAGAGATCTGTTCCATCCATCCATTCTTTTCGCATCTCTGCAGGGTTTTCTTCAGTAAGTGCACTGAACAAAGAATTCAGAAATGAAGTGAGTATTTATTTGTTTAGATTTGGTAACTCCCTCAACCACAGTCAGTTATACATCAATTTAATGTCCTGTCATATGCTAAGTGAATCCTTTGTGGTCAAAGGATTATTATTAAATTACTATTAAGCGCCCATAAATTTGGCAAGGGTTAAATTATAATGGCAAGGGGTTTCAGAGACCACTGTATCAAACTCCACACTTCACAGAAAGGGAAATGAGCCCAGAGTGGCTAGTGACTTGCCCTACAGTTAGTTGCACATAAATGGTTAACAGCCAACTTAAATCTAAATCTCTCATTATTTCTATTCATTCAAACATTTATTGAGGACCTATAAGTATTGATAAGCATGTAGAGTATCTATAAAGATAAAACCAACTTCTCCTGAATCAGCAAACAGTAACAAAACAACATCATGGCCTCTAAAAAAGCCTTATCAACTTTCATATAAAAATATATTTTACAGTGATTCAGTACCCCCAAAATAGCTGCAATATTAGTGACACTGAAAAGGTTAATAACCAAATTCATCTTTTCTTCTAACAGTTGTCAAAAAAAGAAAATCATGAGAAGTCTGTAAGAGTCAATGTACATAGTTAAACACAGTATGTATCTTATGTAAGGAAAGAAAAAAGTCATACATATAACCACTACTTTACAAAAACTTAAAAAAAAGACAAAGTACATAAAACAATGAGAAAGCATTCCTTCATATGTGTTAAAAGTCAATGTTAAGATTTCAAAATTACCTTTTCATTTAAAGCAATATATTCTAGTTGGCATTTTCTGTTACCTAATTTCCATATACCTCACCCTGTACCACTGTGCCCAATCCCGCAGTTCACTGAGAAAACAATCTCACTAATCCACATGTGATAATGCTGCTAAGATGAGGTTTCTAATCTCAAATCACCACCTGACAAGGTTAATATACCTTACCGAAAAACAGGGCTTAAGTCAAAAAGAAGTAACCTAAGTAGTAAGTATTTTAAAACACTAGCCTGGTTTCAAGATGTTCTGATGAAAATTCAGAAGTAGGTTAAAAAGATAACTACACTTTAGGAGTTTTGAACCTAGAAATTTATCTAAATTACAATAAAAATAAATATCAGAAACATTTTTACAGCAAAGTAAAATCAAATTCTCATGTTTAGCACACACTGTAAATTAATAAGCCTTGGTTATTTTTGTCTGTCTATTTGTAAATAATAAATTTGTAAAGTTGTTCCCCCTTGGTTTTCAGTTAATAGTTAATGATTTGTCATTAATAGCATGATCTCTAGGGATCTTTCACAAGATAATTCCTCTGATCCCGTCAAACATGCACAACTCTGAGTCTTACTTTGATAGTTAGAATTGGTCCCTGGGTGGTTCTCCAGGACATACTTCTTCAGAGCAGCGGTGGAGCAGGTCTTCGGCTCATTCATGGCAGCAATGGCGGACAAGATTGCATATTCCATCAGGCTTCCACCAAGTAGGGGTTTCTCCCCTGATTTCTTCAGCTGTTTTCCAAGGAGGAAGAGAAAAGCATCAAGACAACACTCTCCCAAAGCAGGTCAAGACAAGACTCCTCTGCACCAGGTGGGTCGGAGTTCCTGCATTAGCACAGATATGTTTTACAGTAAATTGTCAGGTTAGGGACTTTCTCTTCCCACTCAACAGGTATTCACCCTAGCTGAGGAGTCCCAACCCTCCTACGGATTTTTTCTCCTTTCATCTACCCCTCCAACCAACCTCAAGTAGCAACAGTTGACCTAACCCGAAGAGAGTGACAGTGCTACTCCAATAAGGAGGTTACTTGTTATGCCCCCAATAAATTAATGCTTTTGAGAATACTCCTCTTTTCTGAATGTGAAAAATGGACTACTTATAAAATTAACCATTAGCCTTTTTAATCCTGCAAGGAAAATAGCAAAGGAAAAGTTTGATAGATATTTAGGATATCATAAATAGAAAATTATATAGCATATTTCAAGGACAAGAGGCTGGGGAGCAAAGGGTAGCACCAATAAGCAAAAAGGTAAATAAAAGGACAAAGCGAGGTATAGTCTACAACAATGATTCTTAAAGACAGATCCACAAATCCTTGGGGTTCCTGAGACCCCTTCAGAGGATCTGCAAGGTTAAAATTATTTTCATAATAATATACTAAGATATGATTCACCTTTTTCACTGTGGTGACATTTTGCACTGATGATGGAAAAAGAATGATGGGTAAAACCACTGCTACCTCACAACAAATCAAGGTGGAGACACAGAAATATAGTAACTGCATTCTCTACTGCTATACATTTATGGTTAAAAAAAAGTGTTTCATTTAACAATGTCCTTGATATAAAAATTATTTTATTAAATCTCAACCCTCGTGCATGTCTTTTTGATATTTCATGGGGCAAAATGAGAAGAATGTATAAAGCATGTCGACTGCAGAGGGATGGTGGTAATCTCAAGGAAAAGCACCCAGTGATTGAGTTGTGAGCTCAACTAGCTGCATTTTTCAGGCAATAAAACCCTTTTAACTTGAAGGAAGAATTAACAGATAAACCGTGGTTATTCAGACTCAGGCATCTGGTAGACAATTTCTTGAAAATAAGTTAAGTGGACTTGTCAATTCAAGGAAAACAACTAACAGTAGTTGTTGCCAATGATAAATTCAACTTCTCAAGAGAAAATATAAATTGTGGAAAACCTGATTCTACCACCATGAGCACAGTAATTTCCTAGTACTTAAATACTGTTCTGATGAGATCAGTGGGTGATATTAGTGAATATGAGTTTTGTTACTATTTGATGAAATGTGCCAACATTAAAAAATCTGCACAATTCAGTGAACTACTATTTTCCAAATGACTGTTACACAAAATTATGGTTAAAAGATGCACTCAAAGTTCAAGACAGACCAAAGGATTTCAAAGTAACAGAGTACAAGTTTAGATATGGTTTCAGGTTTCACATGGCAACTTTAATGTACTTTATGCAAGTACCCACAAAACCAATGTAATATACATATTAACAGAATAAAGGAAAAAACCGTATGATCATCTCGAGAGAGATAGAAAAAGCATTTATAATAAACTCTCAACAAACTAGTAACAGAGAACTTTCTCAACTTGGTAACAGGCATCTATGAAAAACCTGTAGCTTCAATGGTGAAAGAATGAATGTTTTCCCATTAAGATGAGGAACAAGACAAAGACATCTACACTCATCACTGGAGGTTCTATCCAGGCAAGGGAAAAAAAAATTAAAGACATCCAAATTTGAAAGGAAAAAAAATAAAATGGTCTTTATTTGTAGATGACATTATCCTATATGTAGAAAATCCTAGGGAATCCACCCCAAAATCCTAGGAATCCACCAAAAAATTCCAGAACAAGCAAATGAGTTCAGCAAGGTCACAGGATGTAAAATCAATAGACAAATCAACTGTATTTCCACAGGCTAGCAAATAAGCAATCTGAAAATGAATATAAGAAAATTCCATTCACAACAGCATGGAAATAGAATATAACATCAAGGAATAAATTTAACAAAAGAAATGTAAGACTTGTACCCTGAAAACTACGAAACACTGCTGAGAGAAATTAAAGATCTAAGTAAACAGAGAGAGAGTCAATGTTCATGGAAAAGTCAGCACTGTAAAGAGTGACTCTTCCTAAATTGCTCTACAGGTTCACTGCAAGCTCTACCAAAATCTTAGATGGATTTTTCTGTGAAAATTGACTAATGAATACTAAAATTCATATGGAAATACAAAAGACTCAGAACAGTCAAAACAATTTTGAAAAAGAAGAGGACTTATGTTTCCTAATTTCAAAACTTACTACAAAGCTACCATCAGGACAGTGTGATCCTGGCATAAAGATTCACATATAGATCAATGGAACAAAATTGAGAGACTAGCAATAAACCATTACATTCAAGGTCAACTGAGTTTTGATAAAGGTGCTAAGGCAATTCAATAAGAAAAGATAGTCTTTTCAATAAATAGTATTGGGACAACAGGATGTCCACATGAAAAACATTAATTTATACCCTTACCTCACACCATTAACAAAACTTAACTCAAAATGGATTATAGACCTAAATGTAAGAGCTAAAACTATAAAACTCTTAAAAGCAAAATAGGAGTAAATCTTCCTGACCTTAAGCGAGGTACTGATATATTAAATATGACACCAATAGTATAAGTAATTTAAAAAAATGATCAACAGGACTTCATCAAAAATAAACACTTCTATGCTTCAAAAGACACCATTAAGAAAGTGAAAGCATGGGCCACAGATCAGGAGAAAATATTTGCAAATCATATATCTGATATATCTAGTTATATAACTCAATAAGACAAATAGCTCAATTTTAAAAATAGGCAAAGGATTTGAATAGACATTGACATTTTATCAAAGAAGATAAACGAATGTCCATTAAGCACATGAAAAGATGGTCAACATCAGTAGTCTTAGGGAAATGCCAACCAAAACCATGAGACACCACTTTGTATCCACTAGTATGGCTATAATTTTAAAAAGACAGTAACAAGTGTTGGCAAAGATAAGGAGAAACTGGAACCCTTATACATACATTGCTGGTGGGAATGCAAAATGATGCAGTCACTTTGGCAGTTTCTTAAAACAAATATACCACATATTCCAGGAAGTCCATGCTCCTACTTACACACCCAAGGGAAATAAAAACATATACCTGCACAAAGATTTGGACATAAATGCTCATAGGCAATATTAATCAAAAAAGCTAAAAAGTGGAAATAACCTAAATGCTCACCAACTCGTGAATGGATAAGCAAAATGTGCCAGACCCATATAATAGAACACTATTTGGCAATAAAAGAAATAAAAGTACTGATTTGTGCTGCTACATGGATAAAACTGAAAAAAATTATGCTAAGTGAAAGAAGTCAGACACAAAAGACCACACACCGTATGATTCTATCCATATGAAACACGTAGAAAAGACAAATCCATACAGAGAGAAAACAGGTGGGATAGGGATAGAAACAGGGAGTGACTGCAAATGGGCACAAGAGGTTTTTTTGGGTGATGGAAATGCTTTAAAACTGGACTGTGGTGATGACTGTACAACACTGTAAACAATCACTGAATTATAAACTGTAACATAAAAGGACTGTATCTTATGGTATATAAATCATACCTCAATATAGCTATACCTCAAAAACTATCATCTGTTGAGTTTTGGTATACTATCTGAGAATATTATCAACTTCTATCTGAAAATTATCTTAAAATACTCCACCTTTATTTAACTTTCTGTGTGAGCTTGACTTTCCTTCACAGATGTAACCCAAAATACACTGAAACAGATACCAGCTGTTTTCTATGAAGCTAGCCAGTAAAGATTTTTGCAAAAATATAATAAATAGTAAATCTCTTCTCATTAAAAAATTTTTTATTCTTAGAAATAGTTTTCATAAAAATTTTATGTTAACATATAATGGGTTTATTTTTTAGATGAATTAATCAGTATCTAACATTTCCCCAGTTTTAATTTCTAATATGGTAAATACTGATATGTATAACCCACATAAACAAAACCTTTGGAGGTATACAATAAATTTTTAGAGTAAATGAAAGTCCTGAAACCAAAACTTTTGAAAACTTCTCTACAACCAAGCTCTTTTAGCCTCTAACCTGGAATGTCCCAGAAGCACCTTTGCCAGTTATTTGTTCTAACTGGCCTCTCTCTACTGCTCTCTGCAGAGCATTCTTCAACAGCTGAGGCCTGCAGAGAAAACAAAAATAGCAATAAATATATTAATGAGGGAAAAGAAAAGAAAAAAAAGATCCAGGGTTATTCTAAGGAACTAAAGTTCTGTCTAATACTTTGTTAAAATGGACAATAAAGTAATAAATTGTTGGCACCCTTAATAAGTGGCATTCTTTTTTTTCTTCAGGCAAAGAAGCTAAATCGGTACCTGTACATACAGAACCATGTACCATACAAGCCAATTTCCAACCTGCCAGGGTACTCCAAAAATCTATTATTTATTATCATCAGACCACAATAGCAACCAAACTCTGTAACCGAGCAACGAATGGATATTTTTAAAGTCCCATCTAATTCCGATATTCTCAGAGACAAAATTCTTAGATTTTTAAAAAACATACACACGTTAACAAAAAAAGCAAGTCACTTTTTACAAACCAGTATCCAAACGCGGCCTAACAAAATACAATTCCGAGAAAGAAAACAGATTGTTCTTAACATAGTAGCCCTGCTTCAAGGGGATTGTAGTTTAAAAAACAAAAATCAAAAAACTAGCTCATCAAAACCAAACAGTAGGCAAGAAGAAACTGAGTATCATTAAAAACGTAAGAACAAAGTGTTAAAGCAGAAGCCGCTGTCAAGGAGCAATGGTCCAAACGCTGGGTGGAGAATCTCAGGTGCAGGGAGGAAACCAATCAAGTTCAGCTAGGGCTTAAAGGGTCCGTGATATGGAACAAGACAGAGTCAAATGGAAAGCTACACTTCCAGGCCAACAATAGGACATCTGAAGAAAGGGTTAATCATAACCCAAAAGTTCAGTAATATGCTTTGCCACACATCCCAAGAATTACTAGAATAACACTCAATGAACAGAAAATCATGAGATTTACTTGAAACTGGTTACTTGATAAACTGAAAATAACAACCTGGCAGCCCACTGAGGAATTGAGGAAGGCCGAACTATTACCCTTTGAGGTGCTTTATCAAGCTTTGATACTTTTCTTTGAATTTTGAATCTTTTATCTAACCACTAAGCATTACAGATTAAGCTTACACCAGTTATTAATTACATTATACATATGCTTGGGGAAATCTCATTTCCTGACACTCCAAATGAAGATACTCCCTCCCCCTCAAATCCCAATGAAAGTGTTTCTAAGCCAGTGCTATTTCATTCAAGACACATATGATTTATGCCATAAACCAAAACACATGGGTCACACACAGAACTGTTCATCCCACAAATATTTACTGAGTATTTATTATGGCTATGCAGGAATAAACACACAGATCTGATCACTAGACTCAAGGAATTTAAGAGATGAATGTAACTTTGTGATGTTTTATTCTATGTAAAGCTGTATTTTTAAATATATGTTGCAGTTAAAAAAAAAGAGAGAAGATGAATACATAATATTTATGGTAGAGAATGATAAGGGTCAGGGTTGAAGTATGGGCATACAGCTTTGGGAACACAATTAAAAGAATGATTTAGCTGTCAAACAATTTTTCTATTAGTTGCTCTATACATTAGAGTGCTTAAAAGCTGATTTCCAATAGAGGATCACATAGCTTAAGTAAAACACTGAAACCCTAGACTCTTTGGTCAAATTAAATAACTAATCTGAGGAGAACCTTAACTAAGGTTCAAATGCTCTAGGAATGAGCTATCAGTTAAATCAATTCCCTTCTTAACATTTTCGTGTTCTCAGCAATACCAATCATTACACTAGCATACACCCTGTCCTGGGATTTTAGAAATCTCAGAGTTCTATCACTCACTCCTACCTTCAGGTAAAACCACACTTACCAACTGCTTCAAAGCTCAGATTGGCCCTTTCTCTGTCATCACTGCTATAACCTTAGTACAAGCCTCCAAGCTCTCCCTTCCAGGTGCTGTTCTTTCTGCTTTCATAGTGCACACCATCATTAGGTCAACACTCTATAGAGGAGTCCTCTATTGTTACTCAGTTGATCAGGTGACAGGTCTTAATTGCTTCAACCCAGCTTCAAAGCCTTGTTAGTCTAGATGTACTCAAACACAGGTTTCTCTCAGTTTCCAAAGAATGCCAACTCTTGCCTCTGAAATTTTTTCATAAAGCTCCATGACTTTCCCATTCTATCATCCTATCTAAATGCTACACATTCTAGACCCACTTCAATGGGATGGAACCCAACTGGAGCCCCATCTTAACTGGATGGGACCCAATCAAGCCCAATCTCTTTAACTCACTGCTAACTCCCAGACACAATTCTTTTGCTGAAAAATTCTAGTCTGTATCACACCATCTTGTACTTAGTATGGTGCCATGTGCTGTTCTAAATGTTTTACATGTGTGGAATAAACAAGAGAATACAACAATCCCAAGAAATAGGTACTACTATTGCCCACACTTTACCAAAGGGGAAAAGTTAAGTGACAGAAAAGTTAAGTGACAGTAAATTTAAGTCATTTCTCCAAGGTCACAAAGCTAGGTAGTGGGCGAGCCAGGTTACAAACTTGAGCAGTCTGATTCCAGATTCTGCATTTTTAGTCACTATGTTATGCCTGCACTTTTCCAATATAAAACAGTCTTGAACTTGGAAAAAGCAAGAGGTTTTACCTGAAAAACGAAATAAAGTTCTGGCTTCACCAGTGAATAGCCAGGTAACCCTAGGTAAAATTTTTCATCAGCAAAACTCAACTAGAAATATATATTTTTAAGTCTATTTTGAGAATAACAAAGCCATGTAATTAAACAAAAGTGTTTTTAAAAGACCTATACAAATTTAAGGGGCTGTTTTTTTTTATTCTTTTTTTATGGCTGAGTAGTAGTCTACTGTATGGCGGGTGGGTGTGTGTGTGTGTACACATATACACACCTTCTTTATCCATTCATCTGTCCATGGACATTTAGGCTGCTTCCATGTCTTGGCTATTGTAAATTGTGCTGTTATAAACACTGGCATACATACATCTTTTTGAATTAGTTTTCATCTTCTCTGGATATATGAAGGCTGTTCATTATTGTAACAAATTTTTTTTTTTAAATAAGATCATTAGACCAGCTTAATGAGAAAACAGGGAATAAGTGATTGTTGGTGGCTATGTTTTTCAATTGTGGAGAACGTTCAGTCTGCACTGAGAGGAAAGAACGAAACCAATGCACAGCAAAAATCAAAGCCAAGGGATGGAAAGCAAAATACAACTGACATAGCAATGGTTCCAAGTGGCAGGAATCTAAATAAGAGAGTGACATCAATCTGTTAGAGATACACAGACAGAAATAAGAAACTAAAGAGACTTAAAATTACTTAGACTTTAAACTGTTAAGGAATTAAGGGGCCTATAAAGAAATTAATATGTTTACAGAAAAGTATAGAGCAGAAAATTGAATCTTGGGCTATGCTCCTATTTTCGTATACTTCGAAAGAGAAAAATCAAAGAGTGTGATGAAGTTACACCATACACAAGGATTAGATACTAAAATCTGGTTTCTAATGCCATATGACAGAATTTCCTTTGAAAGTTTCTAAAGGTACCTTCTTAGAGGCCAAGCCAAAGCCTATGTAAAGCCAACATACCCAGTTTTTCTCTAGGGTTGAAAAAAATCATTGTTGTCAAATAAAGGAGATAACTTGCGTGTTATATAAAGAGTCTTTAGGAGGAGGGTATAGCTCAAGTGGTAGAGCACATGCTTAGCATGCACAAGGTCCTGGGTTCAATCCCAAGGACTGCCTCTAAAACTAAATAAATAAACCTAATTAACACCCCCCCAAGAAAAAACTAAAAACTAAATAAATAAATAAAGTCACCTAGAAAATGTTAAAAAAACAAAGTCTTTAAACATCAGAATCATATTTAGTATGGTGTGATACTCAAACCATGACAATTACATTGGAATTGAGACTAGCCAATAATACTAACACTTGTTGAGTGCTTACTACATGCTAGCCACTGTTCTAAGTGCTTAACACGTACTAAGGTTCCTAACAACCCTATGAGGTGTATATATTGTTCATCAATGAGGAAACAAAGAGACACAAAGAGATAACTTATTCAGGGATATAAAGGTGGAAAATGAAAGAATCAGGATTTAAACCCAAGGGGTCTGGTTCCGAAGTCCGTGCTGTTTGCAGTGCTCTGCAGCCTGATATACGGCGGCAGAAGTTCATGTCTCATCTCACACGCCAGGCATATGTTCCTTGAAGCAGAATGGCCAGGTGAAGGGCCCATATAAATTCATTCATTCAGCTAATATTTACTGAGCTTCTACTGCGTGCTAGGCTTGGGGAAAATAGAAGTGAACAATATAAAAATCCCAGCCTTCAGGAATCTGACATTTTAATGGTGAAAACAGGTAATTTTTTTAAAAAAGCAAATAAAACATGTAGTATGTTAGAATGTAATGAGTGCTATGGAGAAAAACAAGGCAGAGAATTAGAATTCGCCATGCTGCGAGAGGAGAGAAAGGTTGCAAATGTAAGTTAGGTGGTCCTATCAACAAAATGCCAATGCGTGGGCCATGTTGGGATGTTGACTTGAAAAAAACAACTGTAAAGTCACTTTGGAGACAACTGGAGACATCTGAACATGGCCTGAGTATTAGATAATGGTAAGGAATTATTAATTTAGTTAGGAATAATGTTCATATAATGGTTACGTTCTCTCAACATTTACATGTATGTTTGAAAATTCCCAAAATAAAACGTTAAAAAATAGTAAGGCAGTCAAGGCAGGCACGTGGTGATACTAGAGTGAAAACGTGAAGGAAGTGAAGGAGTAATTAAAATGGATTACGGGGAAAAACCACCCAGGCAACAGGAACAGCCAGTGTGAAGTCTCCGAGGCTGGTAAGGGAGAGAAGAGCAGTAGGAGACGCAATCACAGTGTAGTGTCTCACAGGCTATTTTAAAGATTCCGGCTTTAAACTTTTTAATTGTGAGGGAACCATGAAGCCACTGGAAGGTTCGAGGAGCAGGGAGATATAATCTAGCTTACATTTTTAAGAAGTCTTATTCTCATTGCTATGTCAAGAATAGACTGAAAGGGAAGGAGGATAGGAGAAGCAGTTCGGAGATTACTGCTCTAGCACAGGTGAGAGATGCTGGTGGTCTGGAAAAGAGTGGTAATAGTGGAGGTATTGAAAAGAGGTCTGTTTAGGGATATACTTTAAAGACAGCGTCAAAGTAGTTGTTTACAGATTACATTTAGGTGTGGGATAAAGAGAAGGCACCAGAGCTCAAATCCAAGGTTTTCGGCTTTAGCAACTGGGAAGATGATACTGCTACTAACTGAGATGAAGGAGGTATGGGGGGGGGTACGCAGCCTCTTTGGTGGGGTGGGAGATAGGGGAATCAAGAGTTTAGTTTGGGCATGTCAAGTAAGACATACAAGTGGTGATGTCAAACAGGCATCTGTATTATGAATGTGGAGCCAGGAGGGAGGTATGGGCCAGATTTATGTATCTGTATATTAATATATATATATGGTATTTAAAACTTTGAGAATGTAAAGAATTACCAAGTCAATGTGGACAGAAAAGACAAGAGGCCTAAAGTCTAACCCTGGGGCAGTCTTATATTAAGGAATCAAGAGATGGGTAATCAGGAATCCTTCGGGTATTGAGAAAGAATGGGTAGTGAAGTTGGAGGAAAACCAGAAAGGTGTGGTACTCTGGAAGGCAAGTGAAGACAGTATTTTAAGCAGGAGGGAGTCGTTATGAACTGACCACTGAAATTCGCAATGTGGAGGTCATTGGTGACACTGACAGGAAGAAGTACTTCAGGTAAAATGGTGTGTGAGGGGGAGTGCAACAAAAGTGGGTTGAAGAGGCAGTAGGAGGAGAGAAATTACAGACAGCAAGGATAGACAACTCATGCTTTAAAACCGTGCTTTTCTTGCTATTTTCTTTGGGCAAGTTTAAGTATGGCTAAATTTTCATATTAAATGTATGTCTGACAAGACTCCACTACAGTCACAGGTACAGAAAATCACAGTAAAGGAAAAAAAGAGATTCAAAGCAGCGGCTACCATTTAATAAGACAGTAAGAGAAGGTTTTCAGGTTCATCGCATCTCTGGGTTGACAATCCATCTATTATCAGGCAAATCTGTTTCAGCATAAAATGACAACAGGAGATGTTCCCAAAGGCAAGAAGCAAAGTTACGCTGCCACCAATAGCACAGCCATGTGGAGAGAAAAGAGCTGAGGGAGAATGTGGTCTCCAGTCATCAAAAACAGTAAAAAGAGATAAAAGTGAAATGTGTTTCCATCTCTCAATGTGTATACAATGCATTTTGGACCCAAAGTTGTATTGGTGGCTCATAATCAGGGCATAAGAAGCATGAAAAAAAATCAAGATATTAATTTCAAATTTTGTTTCAATGATTCCCTTTTCTTTAGCCTTTTTGCTAACTCTTTAACTGGCCACTCTGAAGACCACTAAGTGCTCTTCTGAAAATGTGGCAGAATTCTAGGCTGAAACCTCAAACTGTATGCGCCTCAGTAATTCAAGAAAATATTGGTACTAATCTATATCAGGACAATGTACATCTCATATAGAGACTGCTTGTAGAAAGGACTCTGGATTAAACACAATTTTCCAAGAGTCAGTATAACAAAGGTCATACACAAACACAATCAAAACACAAACTCTGTGAATTACAAATTTAAACAAATTAATGTGTCTGCATGAATCCACAAATAAGCATGTACGACAATCTAATCAATCCAGGTGATTTTAAGTGGCAATTTTTAATAGATGAATTATTATCAAAATTTGGAATTTTACATTATATGTTTAAATGAAGAAAATATGCTATTTCTATGTAGGAGTTAAGTGCTACAGAAGCCTGAATTCTCCTATGTTCTCAGTTACAATGCTAAATAAAAAATGAGTTACCAACCACCTCATTCCCACTAGGATGGCTACTATTAGAAACAAAAACAAAAACCCTAGAAAATAAGAATTGGCGAGGATATGGAGAAATTAGAACCCCTGTGCACTGCTGGTGGGAATGTAAACAGTATAGCCACTGTGGAAAACAGTATGGTGGAACCTCACAAAGTTAAAAATAGAATTATCTATCATCCAGAAGTCCACTCTAGGTATGTGAAAACTGGGCCACAAAGAGATACTGGTACACCAACGTTCATGGCAACGTTATTTCACAATTGCTAAAACGTGAAAGCAATCCAAGTGTCCAATGACAGATGAATGGATAAACAAAATGTAGTGTATATATATATAATGGAGTATTATTCAGCCTTATAGAGAAAGGAAATTCTGACACATGCAACAACACGAATGGACCTTGAGGATGTTATGCTAAGTGAAATAAAATCAGTTACAAAGACTGTATAATTCTACTTCTATGAGGTATGTATCTCGAGTGGTCAAAAACCATAGGGACGGAAAGTAGCAACGTAGTTGCCAGAGGTTGGGGGATAAGAGATAAACGGGGAGTTCTTGTTTAAAGTGTACAGAGTTACAGTTTTACAAGATGAAAAGACTTCTGGAGATGGATGGTGGCAATGGTAGCTGAAAATATTTAGTACCATTGAACAGGGTACCCTTTACGGTTAAGGAGGCAAGTTTTATAATTATGTGTACTTTATCACAATAAAAAATTAGAAAAAACAAAATTAAAAAAATAGGTAGCTGAAAGAACAGTTAAACGCTGAATATTCTAGTAGATGACATCATGAAAAGAGTTACCCGATCAGTCTTACAAAAGTCAATACGTGGTTTGAGTTTCAAAAATAATCTACATATTGAGACCTGAAAAGGAAAACATAATGGGACAAAAAAAAAAAAAAAACCCACACACAAAAAAGGGTCTTATTCCTAGCTCAGCTAAAAGTAATTCTTATTGAATATTTACTCTTTCTCCTTTCTCACAAAAAAAAAAAAAAAAAATAGGGCTAAGGAAGTAATAGACATCTGTGCTTTGAAGTCCAGGCCTGTGGTTCATACCTGATGTCCACTCTCAGCTTAGGGTAATACTGAGACACATATTTCCTGATGAGACTGTAGGAAGCTTCTTTAGGTTCACAAAGACGAGTGAAGGCCAGTGGGAGGATATCCTCCAATTTTACTTGCGGTTCTGGATCCACTGCAGAGCTCCTCTGAAATGTAGTATCAAAAATTATCATCATCACAGGATATAGAGCTTTCTGTTCAAAAGCTTCTATATTCAACTCAAGGGCTTTCCTCAGTTGACTGCCGGATCAACTAACTAACAGAAAACTATCCCTTTTTTGTACGTTCAAACAAGTCACGCCACAGTGGTACAATGTCACTTGTGTGGCAACTTCTTTGAAATAAAAATTTCAAACTGGGAGAGTTAAAAATATATACAAAAATTAAAAGGTATTAAAGATCTTAGTTCATTCTTAGCCTTCAATAACAAAGAATGAAAAGGATCATGCAGCACCAGACAGCAATGCACCAAAGTTCATTTTGAAAGTGTCTGAAAGCTTTATAAAGAAGGTACAAAAATCTTCAGAGTTGTAAAAATAAAGATGTAGCAGATGATTTCAATTACTGAGAGAAAATACTACATACTTCACTTTATTACTGTATAAACACTTATCATAAATAAAATTATGTGTCTTGGTGGGGGTGAATATTACCATTTACAAAAAAGAAGAAAAATTTGCTCTAAGTATAGTTTTAGGGTCTAATATTGGCTAAAAATGTACTTGGATGCCTCCTCTAGTTTAAACAATATTTCACAAAAAGCAGTGTAATTCATTACAGCTGACCCATAACTCAATATAGGGCAGCTAAGTGCACAGGCTCTGGAGCCGAAATGCTTGGAGTCACTCACTGTCCAGTCTACTCACTAGCTGGGCAATAACGAGCGAGTTAACTATGATCTCTCCAGGCCTCCACAGACAGGCTGCTCTATGCATAGCAAACACAGTGAAGACTCAGTAAAGCTACTTTTAGTAGCAGTAGTATTACAGTGCTCAAACTGTGGTACAGACTTCCTACCTTTTTGTTTCTGGATTTCTGCGGTGTTTTCCTTGATTTTTGGACCACAACAAAACTTCCGGAAGCACCTTTTCCTTTCACCTAAAACAAATTAACTTTAGTTGTATTAACCATTATTTAAAATTATTCTGGTATTCATATCGATAACTTTATACTAGACTACGTGAATTACAGGGCATGGTGATACAAGAACTAATGCAAAGTGCTGCTGAACTCTTCAGACAAGAAAGAACAACAACAACAACAACAACAACAAAAAAGAAAGAACAACAAATGAGTCAAAAGACTTGGGATCCAATCTTATTTATGGTACCATCTAGCTATTCAATACTGGAGAAACTTGAAAACCCTCTGAGCTTTTGTTTCCTTATCTACAAAACTGGGGAAGAATGCTATTGTGATACTAGGTTAAAGAGAGTTTACTACAAGCTTTCAAAAAAAAAAAAAAGGAAGGAAGAAAGAAAAGAAGTCATGGAAGGAAGGAAGGGACACTATCTTTTGGGGAAAGTGAGGAAGACAGCTCCTTGGCAAAAGTTCAGAGCCTAGTTAATCTCAGACCACAATGCTTCCTGTAGACTGCCCATTACAGATTATTACTGCCTGTGGGGAAGATTATCTAATAATTTTAGACACTGTACACGATGATATGTGTAAGTCTTAACATACATTTCCACAGTTTACAAAGAACTTCACATTTAACCTGAGTCCTCCATACCTTAGCTTTACTTACACTGCTATGAATATAGCAAGCAAACTGAAATGCTTTCAGCCTATAAAACTGTTTGAAGCATCAAACTGAGGGTCAGCCTATGAGGCAAAATAGGTCACAAACTGTATTTTCGTAAAGAAAAATGCAAATCCAGCTCATGATAATCAAATTAAGCAGAAAGGTATAAAAGAAAGGCAACAGGATTCTGGGAATGTGAACCAGATTCTTAGAACCATCTTTGCCACTGCCATGGGACCTTGTTAGTTACTTCATCCCTCTAGACCACTGAAGAGTATTGAGATAAGAAAGTTTATGCCAGATTTAGATTTTAAGCAATTTTTAAAAATTGAAGTATAATTAATTTATAATATTGTATTAGTTGCAGGTATACGGTATACTGATTCAAAATTTTTATAGATTCCATTTCATTTAAAGTTATTATAAAATATTGGCTATGTGTTGTACAATATATCCTCGTAGCTCAAATAAAGTTTTGATGTACTATGCAAAGTAACACAGATTTATGCCCGAAATCATTTTGGTTTTATTATTATTCTCAATTTACTCAGGTTTATCTGATGCTCCCACAAGTTTTAATAGTTTTAGATACTAATAAGTTAAGCTGAATCTATTTATAAAGCTAATTTATAATGATAACCAGTCTAGCCACATAAGTTAGTTAACAAACCTTAGACAAGAATAATAATCTTTTTTGCTTTCGCAATAACAGGATTCCTCAACCCCACCTCTCATCTTCAACACTACATAATCTCAAGCACAAGCAGCCTCCAAAGAAAATCCAATTAAAAGTACAAGCAGCTAGAAAAAAAAAAAATCACACCATCATATTGCTTCTGTTCTGTGGAACAGTTATCTTATTAAAGGTAACTGGCACCATGATTTTGAAACCTAATCTCAGATAACAAAAAAGGTTAAGCTTAAGCATTTCATCATCATGTTAACTTATTTTAGCAAAGAAAATCACAAAGCATCAAAAGCCTAAATGTTACTAAAATAAGGATTTATAGCTAATATATGTTGAAATGTCTAATTACAAACAACTGTTGAATACCTGTTTGATGACACCTCTATTTAACTCTCTTTTCAGTGCTTGTTTAAGGAGGTAGCCCCTTCTCTCCAGCTCCAGAGAAGGGTACTTATGGATGATGTATTTTCGAATAGCAACTACAGATGCACCACTCTTCTGGAAGCATGCCTAGGAGACAGATTTATCAAACCATACACATTAATTTAAACTAGCTGTTTTTCATATATTTTCTGACACGTTTTCAAAATAAGTTATTTTGGAAGTGAACCTGATAATGGATGATAAGAATGGCAGAGAAGAATGAACAGTATTTCGGGTAACTTCAGTTCATCATGGCTGCAGAGAAATACAGAATTATAATATTTCTGCAACAATTTTAAACTGTTCAAAAGAGCCAAAGAGAAGATATAACATGTGAACAACATTCTGTGTGTTAATGAAGACCCTCTTTCTATTTTAATTATTTTCTATACCTAGAAGACAGATCTTAAGCATTAGAGGGAGGAAAGCAGGACATTTCTATTGCTTGCAGATCTGGCCCATTTTACGGAATACACTTTGGCACACCAGAACCAATACTTCTAGGCAGGTTTTGCGTGAATGTCAGCAGGTAACATTAGCAAAGATAATCTCAATAAATGGCATAAAACTGGGTTTACAGACGGCAAATCTGAAGGGGAGCTCTGGATAACAACGAGAGCACTCAATTGCAATTTAAAGTACCCTCTTCCACATCCCTCCTATTTACCTATATTCCATTTTCTAATGCCCACTGCAGACTCAAGTAAGTCATTATGTCACGAACACTGCAATTTTTTTTTCAAATGCTTTACATTTTGAAACACACAAGCAACACTTGTTTTTTATCTAATGGACTAGTCTACCAATTTTGTGTAGTCACTGTCTATAAACTGATCATAGATTTTACTCATTGTCATTGGATAAAGACTTGAACATTATTTTATATACCCGCAATAAAGAAAAGTAAGTCACAGACAGATGGACCAGCAAAGACTGTACAACACAATGATTTAACGTGGATGATATCAACTTAAGTTAACAGGAGTTGTGTTAGTATGGATCACTTAAAGCAAATGTCTCTGATCTATTACAACCGATTGATGTTTACTCCTGATTTTATAAGAAAACACAAAGCAAAGAAAATCAAGCAAAAAAAAAAAACCATGCTAATGTTACAACAATCCCTTTTTCCACCAAACTGATGACATGAAAGTAGACATCAGGACTTCTGTTTGATTCGGCAAATCATATCAGTGGTCTGAAATCATGATTTGTCACACTGTGTGGAATACACATGACATACATATATACTATTTCATTTGTACAAATATGCATAATCATATTTAAACTTTTCTTTAGGCCAAACTGCACTGTTTAAATTTTTTGTTTTATTATTTTAAAATTTTAGTCCCTTCTCCACCCACACTGTAACCCTGCTCCTCCAAACCCAGGCTGAGAGGTCACAAAGTGAAATCTGAAGAAAGGCCACACAAAGAGATCTCACTATAGTTCAACTATCTAGACCAAGAAACTTTTCTTAATGAGTTAAGAGTGCTCTTGAAGGAGGGCGGGAGAGGCTGGAAAGCAAACCCTTTCCCCGTTTATCTGTCAGTGTTGTCTTCTCAAATTCTAATAATGGCCACCAGGCTTCTCCTTCCTAGGCACACCACCCGTGGTTAAATTCGTCTGCAGCCTTCTCTTCCCAGTTCTCCCTTAGATCCTAGCAACAGGGTCCCTGGAATTAGAGAATCTATGGCTCCTATTTTATTTTTTAACGGCTTCTATTTTAACTCCTCTTGTCATCTGATCACGTGAGATAAACAAGGCAAAATTAACCAGAAAAATTTATACACAAAAAAGGCAAGGTCAGATTAGAAGATAACCTTAAAATAAAAAAACAGTATCTAATGATCACACAAACTAATGAGAGTCAATGAATTTCAGCAAAGTTATAAAGCTATGGAAGAAGAACAGCTTTTGTAAGTATTTTGGAATGACTAGGTGATGAAGCAAAGCAGTAAGGTGTCCAAAAGGGTTTCTTATAGCTCAGGTGTGAAAGATAACCAACTATTACTATTAGACACTGAGCTCTGAAAAAGGACCTAAAGATAGCATACTTTTTTAAAATAAAAATCCTCAATGTTGTGTACAGTTTCCTTGAGTCACAGCTAGATTTCATAAGGACAAGGGTCCTGTCTCTCTTACTCTATGCTACAGCACTAGTAGGACTGACTGCCTGATACAGAGAAGCGAGTCCTTAATTGTTGAACGAATAAACATTTTCAACCTTCAAATAAAAACTGTATTTAAAATAAACTGAGTAAAAAAATTAATAAATCTAAAGATAAGTTAAAAATATTTGCTACAGTAAATTTGAGGTTTTAAAAAAATTAACAGTGCTCACCAAATGTAATAGTATTATAAAAAAAAGGAACCTAGCAATGGCTGTCTTCTCTTTAATCTCTTTAGGAAGCAGAGCACAGGAGTATGCCATTTTCAAATAAGCAAAAGACAAACAGAATAAATCTAAGATGAACTGCTTGAAATAAAAACTTGCCTTAATGGCCTCAGTTAGGATTGCATCCATCTTGGGACGTGGGGAGGAAGCCATCGGTGTTTGTTTCTGGGCCCTGGCTAGCTGGCTGGCAGAAAGGGTAGCCCAGGAAGGTATTGTTTTTTTCACTTTCTTCTCCTTTTCTTTAGACTGATCTTTCTCACTTTAAAACAAAGAATTGTTATTATGCAAGATAAACTCTTCAGAAAGAGGTATAAAGTCAGAAAGAAGAAAAGACTAGAGAGGGATAAAAAAAAATCAATGTTTTAATTCATTTCCACACTAAGATGATACGGTAAAATAAGCAAAATTCTACAAAATAAAACATTTTTTTAAAAATTGGGTACTATAAATGAACCAAAAAGGTGTTCTCTCTCAGGTGCAAGAGAGAGGAGTCATATAAATTAGCACTGGCATCAAAGGCCAGTACACAAAAGAAACCAGAATTTTAAAACGTATTCTTGTAACAACTACAATAGATGCAATTTAGTATAGCGCAAAGAACTCAAGCTCTGAAGTCAAAATACCTGGGTTTGAATTCTAACTCTGTATTTACTAGCTGTGTGATCTCAAGCAAGTGACCTGAGTCTCAACCTCCTCAGCAGTAAAGCAGTCATATAAAACACCAAATATTTCACAAGGTACAAGAAATTATGAGATCATACTAAAAAAATAATTTTGTGAGCCATAAAGCATTATACAAATTTTATTCTAAGTAATAACATTCCATGCATCTGAAATACAGGGTAGATGCTAAAAATTCCAGACCTTACATATCCCTATGAAACTGATGAAGGATTCCCTGAGGATTATGCCCAGAAGCTATAGTTATTTCTAAATTATTCTTTTATTTAAAAAGTAATTCGTAACTGTTCTCACCAAATATGAAAAGAATAGAATGAATGCTACCAGCTGTCCTGCAAAATAATTTTTAAATTAAAAAAGAATCATCATCACATTGTACAGATTATCAATACCAAATTTTGCTTTCAGATTCTCAAAGTCACCCTCCAATTGAATAATTCATCAAATATATAGTTTTATGTCACTCTAGCAATGTCTTGATATAGAGTAACACTTTCTAACATAAGCAGGTAAAAATGACCCACTCCCGGCACAGAGACAGGAATAAAATAGGGAAGTATCTCCCAGGTCAGATCTTTATAGTCCTGTTCCATTTCTCACCGAAATTACATCAATGCTTACAATTAGCAGACACTCCCACAATGAATTCTAACCACACAAAAGAGCATTCCAAAGCCAAAAGGAATGAATTTTGGATTATGCAAACCACTGTTCTGATAACTACTATAAATTCTAATAGGCCATACAACTACACTGCAAGCCTATTTCAAAAGATAATTCTAAAAAAAGTAAATTCAAACAGCACATATCTAGCAAAAACCAATGTTATACCACTAAAAAATCTGACCTACAGTCCTTTCACACAGTCTTCAAGTACAAACAGCAAGAAGGTTTAACTCCTTACTCCTTTTTGGTTTCCTCAGAAGACTTGTTTTCTTCCTTCTCTTCACTCTCAGGTTCTCCCTTTGGCTGCTCTGTCTCACTAGATGTAGCAGGTGGAGTTTCATTCTCTTGTTCTTCTACAGTGGAGATAGATTCCTCTGAACTTACATCTGGTTCTATAAAAAATAAATAAATAAATAAATAAATCAGGTGAGAAATAAATACATTAGAGCCTGAGTCAATAAAAAGGATAAATGTTTTTAAACAGATAAACCAAATGTTCCAATTAACAGCTGGATTCTAAAATGAACAAATGACTATGAGTGCAGTTTTCTTTCCTTCTTTATGTCACTCAAATTGCCTATACAGGGGTCACTTATTGAGACCATTATGCGAGAAAAGGAGAAGCACCAGGAACTTACACAGCAAGGGGAAGTCATTTTACCCCAAATCAAACCTCTTTATAAGATTAATGATCAGATTCACAGGAAGAAATTAGCCATTTCATAATTTGACAAATCTTACTAAGAAAATACATAATAAAAAATTAATATGTATTTCCAAGTGAAATGATTGGGGCAAGAGTAGAAATATGAGAGGAGGAACACTGAGGTCTGCAGCTGCTTGTGTCTTTTCTCAGCATGACTCTTTAATCAGCTGCTATAAAACACAGAATCCCAGGAAATAGTTAGGCTGGGACTTCAGAGGACTTCAGTGGCCAAAATCAAGCAAAAAATTAAAAGTAAATGCTTGAAGAGTTTGGTCATTTAAATTATGTGAACTCATTACTGGCATAATGAAGACTTCTTTGGGGCCTTCACATAAACAAAAGAGAAGTTTTAAAAATGCCACTTCCTTCTTATAGCCTAACCACACATACAATGCTGAAGGAATTCTAGTTTCTCAACAAATTAAAATTCTAAACCATAAATTTCACGATAGTAAACTATCATCTGTAAATCACCCTGGGTTATGCTCTTCAACCAGATTTGCATGAAGTCAAAAATCCCCCCATATATGTTCAGTCAAAGTCAAAGCTTCATTCAGAGTCAGATACATCTGGATTCAGGTTCAGACTTCGTAATTTCCTAGCTTGGTATCTTAGGGCAAGTTCTTTGACCTCTTCAAGTCTCAGAAATCTTACCTCCTAGAGTTAATATTAGCATTACAGGAAGTGTTTTAGGGGAAAGCTGTAGGCCAGCATTTGTACTATGTGGATGATTCCCATCCTCTTTTGCCTCTTCTACTGCTTCTACAAATGTTTCACAAGTATTAAGACTCGAACTTCATTATATCAATGGTATTTGGTGATACAGACAACTACAAGATGTACTTTTTAATCATGATGCATTTTTTATTGCCCCACCCCAACCATGTGACTTAAATGGCTAACCTAACTGGTTGTGTAAGAAGTTATTTTCAGTCAGTCATGTTTACTTATTTATACATTGCCTTATCCTGGATGAATGGATGAAAAGCTAAGAACCATTTATTGAGTTTTACTCTAACAATAGAGGTATAAATTTAATTCCACTTTATTTTCTCTTAATAGTTGATGGTTTAATAAAGGTTCAATCACTCAATAGACATTATGCATTATGTATATGATGTTTTCTAACTCATTATAAACTACTGTCTGCCTTTGTATTAAATGCAGTATTTATAAAATTTAAAACATGAGTAGAGTCCAATTATTTTCATGTATAAAATACTATAATGGGACAGAGATAATATAAACACAACATGTGAAGTGTCTTACTGGTCCTTTACAAATTCTGGTTGACTTTTCTAATACCATAACACCTTAACACTCTGGTATATTTTGAAAACTCATGTTATTAGTGATTTAGTGGCTTCAGGGGGCTGTTAAACAAACGTGGACCAAGATGGGCCATCAAGTGTGGCTCATCTCAGTGTTGGACAAAACAACCTATCATCGACCCACGAGCACCTATTTTTTTTTTTTAATATGCTGATTCCCATGTCTCCTTACTGCCTTAGGCCAGGGTACCCACATTACTTATAGTATTCACCTGAAGATTCTGAGACAAAATCCAGGCTCAGCTGGAAAAGAGTATATCCCTGGGGCACCAAGGATAAAGGCAGCAAGGGTGCACGTATTATTTTATGTGTAATACATGCTGGTCAGCAAATATTTGGTTCTAACGGCCACGACAGGAGCAGCACCATGTGCTCATCCATGGCAAACCTGACATAAAAGGCAAGGGAGAAAGGAGAAAAGGGTAAGAAAAAAAAGAAAAAGGTCGTGAGAACAAGGAAAGCAGTTCCACCTGAAAAAGTGGCCAGAGATGCCACAGAGAAGCACAAATACTCCAAGTTGGCGGTTCTACCTTTCTCTTGATTTATTATGTTCCCACATCTATCCGGTCAATATTCTCTCCACCAACATCTCTGTTATAAACCAATGTTTTGATCACCCACTCACTTCCTGAAGGCCTCCTGATGATTTCTGGCTGAGCCTTCCACTGTCCATCTTGAAGGCCCAAGCCCTCCACTCTTCCAGAGTCTTCATCCCCACAACACTGTATGCCCAGAAGCTACTCTTCAACTGTTCCTGTTCTCTCCAACCATCTTTCTGTTTTTAATTCCAAGAACATGAAATTTTCACCTTCTAAAAATCTTGAGAGACAAAATGAAATTCTTTCTTTGCCCACATGGTTTAGAAATACCAACAGGTACCACTTCTCTCTCTAAATGTTCCCCCCAAACATTGAGGCATGACAAAAGAACAATTAAGTTCACGGGAATTTATAGGACACTCCAAACTGGAGCAGAAACTTCCGCCTTTTTAGTTGCCCACTGCTTTACTTTACCTGGCTTTTCTTCCTCCCCTTCAGCGACCTTGCTCTTGGGAGGAGTTTCCCGGGTCGAATTCACAGCTCGGCGAATCGGCATGGTGTTATCTTCTACCTTCTAAGAAAAGAGATGGCCATAATCACACGAGCACAAAAAATTCTCTTCTTTCTCAAGGGGCAGGTGTCAGATGTAGGAGAATTCTTCAAGTCGACTCCAGGATCTGATGCAAATTACTCTTAACAAGTTTTTAAAAAAATAAAAAATGATTTTAAAGAAGTGATTTTCAAAACACTGTATTTTAGCTAGAATTTCAAATAATTATACTTGATTTGGGATAAATTAGAAGGTTGGAGATTTTTCTCAGGAATTTGAGGGGAAAGGAAAGATGAAAAGAACTTTGTATCTACTTGATTTGTTCAGTTTCACAACCCAAACTCCCCAAAGTAGAGGAAGGAACAGGTACCAAGAAGGCCCCAGAAGGGCCTGAAGTCAGGGACTGATCCAAGAGTGAGCTTCAAGAATGTGTCAGCCCCTACCTCACCTAACTTGTCCGCGTGGATCAGCTGAGCTCCTACTATAAGTGGGAGTGCCTTAGGATGGACGAGTTCACCTTGAGACGTATCAGTCGCCATTTAAAATAATTTCTAGGCCCGAGTACAGGTTACACTCTGAAGCCTCTGCTGTTAACCACAAGGATTTTTCCTAATGGTTTCAGTGTGGTGAAGAATCAACCTAAAGCACAGAAAAGACCTGGTATGAAGATTAACAGAAACAAAACTAAACTAGAACATCTAAATTTAATACACACCCAAAGGGAAACAAAAATTAACTATAAAATTTATAGTTAAGCGACAGATGTCCTGGTCAGTTATTCTGAAAGATAAAAATCACTATCAAAATACAGACTATGTAAAGCAGCGACCAAGACAAATGCACAAGCCATAGCAGCTGTTGCACCTTCCACACGAACAAAGGCAACAAGGACAAGAAAGCTCGTAAGGACCCTAAGCCCATCCCCTCCTGCGACTGTAAGTAACTTAGAAAGAACAGAATGAGACCAATGAACAGTTTAGTCAATGTTTATTCAAAGATCAGTTCAGTAAAGAGAGAAGCTATTGTTACTGTTTTCAAAGGGGTCAGGAAACTTAACTGTAATCTTAATTCCAGCTCCATCAGAGGGCAAAAATAATGCTGAAAAACATTACTTTCTAAGAGCCTCCAGACTCAGTAAAGCAAATTCAGACCATCACCTAGAAGAACAGGTATGCTTCTAAGACCTTGTCATATTTTTAATGTTAAACAAAACTAGCATGGAAGAAGAAAATTAAATAGTCAAAAATAAAACCCATGTAAGCTACTCAAATTCATCTGATCATTCACACTCTCTGCCCACCTCCACCACCCCAATCTCATCTGGGACTCAACAACATTGTATAATAAAAATTCTTCTAAAATATAAGAAAATGATCAGTTAAGTGTTTAGATCTCTGCGCTAATGAGCATTAATGAAGAGGTGGGGAAGAGCAGACCAGTCATCATCTTCTTTAAACTCTAACCCTCTCTAGAAATTTAAGAGCTTTCAATTTGTCAGGTAATAGTTTCAAGCTCTAAACACAGAATGCTTTTCACATTTATAGCGAAAATCTTTTTATGGGAACACCAAAAGCAATGTCAGATTTGTGAACTATCCAGTCAACTGCAATGAAAGGCAGCTGAAAGAATTCAAGATAGTATAATATACTAAAAACTTATTATCAAGAGTAAAGTAGGAATATCATGACTATTTAAAAATTATTGTTACAAAAACTTCTTAAAATGCTCACATAGCCAATTCACCTCAAGAAACAGAAAATAATAAAAATAAAAGTAGATGTTTTCTAGCCTGTGAAAAGTTGGGTTTACGGTCATTATTTAGGTTTGTGAAAGCTAAAAGTCTATCTTGGAATAATTTCAATACATAAATATCCTCATTCATCCAACTAGCACTTACATAGTAACATATTTCCCTTGATGAGAAAAAAAAGCAAATCTGATACTTTTACACGTAAATACCATACAGAAGTAAAACTTCATGATCAGGTTATTCTTGGTAAAGTGATACTGCTGATGAATTCAACCAATGATAACACTAGCTAGGTTGAAAACGATACTGTGAAGTCAACAAAACCTTCAGGAGTCTCTGCTCAGAGTATCTTTAAAAAATATTTTCCCTGTAAATAAAATACTGAAAAAGGTGTTAAAACCTTTTCAATCAACTCTGTATTCACTAATTGCTCAAAATTAAGTTTTAAAAAAGGGAGTGGGGGTGCACAGGAAGCTATTCAATGCCAAAAAATAAAATTGACTAAAATCAGGGCAACAAGTACATGGTCCATAAAGACATCAGAGACCATTAACCTAAGGACAAGAATGATAGTTTAAATTAGGCCACCTAAGAAGTATGCCCAGGTTAGAACTGAGAAATAAGTTGGTTTGCCAATCTTCCTGGCTGCATCCACCAAAAGAGATCCTGACATTCTCCTCCTTAAAATCTATCACCACCCCCTTTTTCAGTAATCTCACCTCCTACCACTCTATCCATCACTCTACTCTCTTGACTCCAAAAACACAGGTCTTCCTTTGGTCCTTAGACTGTGCTTTGCTCATCCCTGAACATGCTGTTCCCTCACTGGCACATTCTTTTCTCGATACTTCTATCAGGTTTCTGCTCAATGTCACCCCTCAGAAAGCCTTCCACCCTCCTTATTCTTCTTCAGGTTTCTTTATAGCATTTAACATCATCTGAAATTCAGTATGTCTGTTCACTTGTTTATTATGGTTGTCTCCCAACAGAACGTAAGCATGCCTAGGGCCAGGACTAATTCATCACTGTATTCCCAGAACCTAAAATGATGCTCAGCACATACTGGGTGCTGGATAAATACTGGGGGAAAATAGTTGAATGAATACTGACACCTGACAGTACTTATTACTATACTCCATATGTGTGAAGAACACTTAAGAAAATAAAACTAAATATTTAAAACTTAATATAAATATTAAGAAATGTTTGCCTCTGAATTTCCCTAGTAAAGGTCATGAAACGTAAAGCTTGTCTATAGCACTTTCTCTAAAATAGGTTGGTTAATGAGTTATTTCCTAAATTCACTGTTCATTACAGAGCTAAAACAACTATATGGATAGTTAATTCACACTGCCTTAATATCACATGTACCTATTAATTTAACTTTTGTTGCTGCACTTCTGAACTATCACACTTCCTTCGTAGGCTGCTACACTTGTTCCCTGACAGAGATCTTATCTGGCTGGTTCACTGCTGCAAACTTGGCGCCTAAGAAACATGCAAGGCACAGATTAGGTGCTCGACAAATATTTGTTAAATGCAAGAATGAACAGATAAAGCTCAATAAGTTTTTCGTCTGGGTTCTTAAATGTGCCAAAAACAATCTGAGTTTACCTGTGGTTTATGCGGTCTTCGGTGGTCATCAATCTCCCTTTTTATGTTTTAAATTTAATGTTAGATTAACAATAGACGACAAAGATTTGCTTTTGCAGGGGAAAGGCTAAGTTGTTTAAATGTAGGCAATAAAAACAAGTTTGTAAAAGTATGAAGTTCTTAACTTCAGAGTTTTAATTTACTTTCTCTCCACAGAGAAAACATTAAAATAATAAGTAGTTAAACAATATACTTGTTTACTGACATCCTTGAAAAATACGTATTTTAGGGAAAGTACTATTATTTCATATTTACCATAAAATGCATGCAATTTATTATACATTGTTATTAGCTATGCACTAAATACATCAAACTGTTCTCAATCTAAAATCTTTCATTATATTCAGACCTCACTATGTCAAGAAAAGCATGCCTATAATTTGCTAACAACTTTTTTCATTTTTGCATTTCAATAAATCTACTTATTCACTAAATTAATGTCTATCTTGGGCACAGACGCAATGGACACTTACAGGGGCCCTCCTCACAAGTCAAGCACAATCTAACTGGCTAGAGTTAGGATTTTTCATCTGTACACGAAGAGTTCAGGATATTTCCTCCAACTTTCCGCCTTCAATCTTCCAATTAAGCTTAAAAACAAAGCCAAAAACACCCTCTAAATGTTACTTCTACTTTGAAACACTAAACCTTTGAAAGAAGCAACAAAAAAATGTAAAAGCTCGTAACAATTTTATGCCTATGCCAGATTAAACAAAATTACCTTCCAGAAGAAAACCAGTCACGTCTAACATCACTCTAAGACAAGTCAGTTTGCCCATGAAGTCCCAGGTGAATTAATTTCTAGGTCTATTTCTACCCAGATTCTCACTTTTTAAAATAACAAAAAGTCAGGAAGCATTACAAACACCAGAGAGAAAATGTATACGCAGGAAGGGCGGTAAAGTTCACCTTGTCCAGTCCTCTGTGGAGAGAACACTCCCTCATAAAGCTTAAGTGACTCGTCCTCGGTTACAGACAGTGGTCAATTCGGTATCAAAACTGAGATATGGGGCTGTCACTTCACCACTCCTGCCTCCACCTCTTTATAAAAGCTCATATGCACAAAATTGTCTTTATCAACTAAAACCACATTGTCTAAGGAGCGGTGAGTAACAAGCTCTAGGAAAGCCATACGGGAAAACGAAAGCTTAGGCCCGCGTCGCAGCAGAAGCAGCAGCAGCAGCACTACTACTAAGGCTTTTCGGGGCGCCAACAGCTCTGACCCGGCGCCCAGACCGCCGAGAGGAACCGGGCAAAAAGACCCGCAGCACAAAGAGGCAGGGAGCGGCCGGTGTGGAGCGCGAGCACACGGCGGGGGGAGAGCGGCGCCAAGACGAAGGCAGCAAGGCAGAGGATGGCGGGCTTAGCGGCGGCGGACACCGAGGCGCGGCTGACAGCTCGGGCTCACGCTCGGGG